CATACCCTTGGCATCAGTGGGGATCATAGGCATGGTGGGACCCTCGCCTCTGGCAGGCAGTCACAGGGGAAGCTCAGAGGCGCTGCCATTGGCCCAGGAGCTGGCAGGTCCTGCTGAGGCACCATCCTCCAGGTCAGACCCGCCCCTCAACCTGCCCCAAGTTCTTAGGGCAGGACGCCCAGTGCGCTGGAGACAGGAGAGGGACAACCTCCCTCTGGGGTGCCAGCCAAACTAATGCAGGGCTTGGTGACACCAGCTCACCACCACCAGTTTTGTGTTTTTTGGATCCTCGCCCGAGGATATTTTTTCCATTGTTTTTCAGAGTGGAAGGGAGACAGAGAGCTCAACTTTCCAGTTTGGGCCCATGGGCCAGTCCTTTATTACACAGTCTGTGATGGGTCCATCTGAGCGACCCCTTAGGTGCTAGATGAGGGGTGGCTTGGGGTGGGCGCCAGGGATCTCGCCCAGCCTGACACCGGAGGAGGGAAGCAGCCCTAGACCCCACCCCACTGGGAAGGCTGCGGTGTGTGAATCGGAATTGGAGCCACGAATCTTGAGCCCTGCCCCAAGTCTGATGATCCAGTTCTCAGGGGTGGTCGGGTCGCCACTACTTGGAAGGGTCTGAGTATGTGGGGGTTTGGCCCTGGTCGGTGGAACACGGGTAGTACCTGCGCTCCGGGGTCAACGTGGTGGTCTGGTTGTGGTCAGGGTACCGTGGTGGTTTGGCCCGGCTGGTGGGGATGTTAGGGGTCCTGCCGTGGGCATGGCTTAGCCCCACTGACTGAGACCCCCACAAAGGCCGTGAGGGACCGTGGAGGCGTGGTCAAACCCGCGGAGAGCCTGGCTCGGATCAGGGCGCAGGGTGTGCGGCCAGGTGGCGCTCCAGCAGCGTGCGGTGCGAGAAGACCTTGCCGCAGGCGGGGCAGGGCGCGCGCTCAGGCCGGTGCGTGCGCATGTGCACGTTGAGCGAGCTCTTTTGTGTGAAGCGCTTGGCGCACACAGCGCACTGGAAGGCGCGCACGCCCGTATGCGTGACCATGTGCTTCAGCAGGTAGTCGCGCAGCGAGAAAGATCGCCAGCACACAGCGCACTGGTGGGGCTTCTCCCCTGTGGGCCACAAGGGACACGTGTGTCAGCTGGAGACTCCCGGCACCTTTGCCCAGCAGGGATTTCCCTCCTCTCCGGGAATAATCATCACCCCGGAATTCCCGTGCCAGACAGGGAAATTCTGGGACCACCCTTCACTCCCCAACCATACTGCCTTAAAGGGACCCCCACATATGGCCTGGTATATCCCCTTCCCTCTGCCCAGCTGGGACACCCCTCTCCCAGACCCTTACCATCACACCAGGATACCACTGACTGTCAAGGGCATTGTTGCTCAATGGGACTGGCCTCTCAGGTGTCCCGTGCCCACATCAAGGGACCTCCTCTCCACCCATTCCTACCATGCCCTCAGAGGATTCTGAACTCTCTGATCTCTGGCCACTGTTCTGGGGACAGTCTAGCAAGGCCCAGCACCCTTACACTGGAAAAAACCTGGGCATACCTACCCCCTTTCTGCTGGAACCCTGGTTGCCCAGACCCCAACCTGCTGGCCACTATGATGTCCCCGGGGTGACAGAGCAGGCTGATCCCCTCACATGGATCAGAGAGAAGGAGGTAGGCTGTGTTTTGGCACTTAGAGTCATTCGGTATAAACAAAGAGGCTTTCTTAGCAGCAGGTGGCTGCAGGGCAGTGCCTAGGAGGGGGTTCTCCCAAACCAACCCGGCTAATGCCACACAAAGTTGGCACATCTTGGCTGGTACTACCTTGGGGCGCCTGCCCTCTCCCCTTNAATGCCACACAAAGTTGGCACATCTTGGCTGGTACTACCTTGGGGTGCCTGCCCTCTCCCCTTCCTCCTCAAGGCAGCCAGGTGGAGATTTTAAACTGTAAATCACATCTCATATCCCATCTCAGAACATTGATGCCTTCCCCACCATTCACAGTGAAATCCCAATTTCCTGGCCCAGCAGAGCTCCCAGGCCACTCCCACTGGCATTCCAGACAAATCTCTGCTTTTCTCCCGTTTTTAACCCTCACCCCAGGGTATTTTGTTCATTGCTTTTCAGAGAGAGAGGAAGGGAGAGGGAGAGAGGAACACCAATGTGAGACACGTCGATTGGTTGCCTCCTGCCCCATTGAACCTGCAACCAAGGTACATGTCCTTGGCCAAAATCAAACCCAGGACCCTTCAGTCCATGGGCTGATGCTCTAACCACTGAGGCAAACCAGCCAGGGAAAATCTTTGCTTTTCTTAACATCAAGCTCGGCCTTTGGCGTTCCACACCCTGGGGAGCAGCTGCACCATCCCTGCGACACTCATGACCAGCCAGCCGCCACCTTGGACCCTCGCTCCACAATCCCCACACTCCTTACTTCTCCCCCAGCCGCTTTGGAGCCACTTCCCTGACATGCTGAGGTCGAAAAGGACCTCCCTGCAGCCTTGGGGAGCTCTGTGTCGCTCCTCCAGCCCTGACCAGGCCACCTCTCTGCCCGCTTCCCACACTTTCCCAAGGCATGCGAACCACCCTCTCTTACATACAGTCACAGTCACTGGACCCAGCAAAGTTCGGGCAGCACTGCTCCCCACCCTGGCCGTGCCCCACCACCAAGTTCCACCCCCACTGCCCATCCCCAGCGTCAGCTCGGCTCTACTGCCAGTTTCTAAAGGCTTTGGGTAGGTTCCTGCTCCACAACCCAGCCTTTGGATACACCTCACCCACCAAAGCGCGATAAAGGACCGGCAAGGGTGCCTGCTGCCCACACACGGAGCACTTGGGGGCTCAATTTCCAGGTTCCTCTGGAGTCACCAAAGAGCAACAGAGCCGAGCCACCGCCTGCCCAGTACCCAATCCTGCCTCACGTTTGAATTTCCAATGACCCGCAGGCTGAGACCCACCCTGGCTCACCGGAGTGGATGAACATGTGCTTGGTGTAGTTTTTCCGCGAGCTGAACGTCTTGCGGCAGTGACTGCACTCATAGGCAGGTGGCTCGGAGCCCGCGGTGCGAGCGGGGGGACCCAAAGGGGCCGGGGCGGGAGCGGCAGGGGGGGCCGGGGCCTCCCCCAGCGTCGCGCTGGGGACTGCCTCTGGCTGGAGCGCTGGGTAGAAGGCGGCTGGGGGTACAGGGGCTGACCCTGAGGGTGCCGGAGGGGGCTGTGCTGGTGGCCCTGGAGCGCCCAGATGAAAGGGGAAGAGGGCTACAGGCGGCCCTGGGGTCTTCACGGCAGGTGGGCGGGGTCCGGACAGGACGCAGTCAGGTGGGGACGGGGCCTCTGGGGGACAGCCTTCCGCGGCTGTGCTGTCCTCCTCTTGCCACGCGGAGACATAGCTGTCCGCGAACGCGTCCTCAGCCGCCGAAGGCCCCCGAAGGAAGTCCCTCCCAGCGCCGTAGTCCGAGAGGCCGGCGGGCGCAGGGGGCTCCTCGCGCACGCTGTCAGCCGCCGTGGCCAGGAAGCCCGCACTGCAGTCAGGAAAGGAAGGGGGCGCCTGGCCCTCGCCTGGGCCACCGCCCTCCCCGTCCTCCCCATCGGTCTCCTCTTCGGTCTCCTCCTCCTCGTCGTCACCGCCCTCCTCTGGGGCCGCAGGCAGGGCGGGGTCAGCGACGGGCCCCTCCGC